AAACCCATTCAATATTTAGTGAGTATCAACCACATGCCAGCCACTGTGTTAGATATGGGGGAATAGAACAGCAACAAGACACGTAAGGTCCTTCCTCTCTTGGAGCTTACAGTCTATGTGGGGGAGGTGGGCATTAAATAAGTTATTAGAAAATAATTACTGAGTTACAGCTGTGATAGGTGTTATAAAGGAAAGGTGTAGGATGGCAAACTTTCTACTCATGAGAATCAAAGAAGGCTTCCCGGAGGAAGTGGCATTTTTTAAAGCTCAAATTTGCAGAGAAGGGGAATAAAAAAGCAAAGGGTGGTGGAGAGAGTAACTAGGAAGAGAGGAAGGGGAAGACAGTGCACTGAAGACAGAAAGAAGCGCATGAACAAACACTTGATGGTGAAAACACTATCCTAAGAGTGAAGAAAGCCAGTGGATCTAGAGCGTGCTGAGTGAGGGGCTGATGGGGGTATAAGTTGAAGCAGGGGAGGTAGGCATGAACCAGATCACGCAGGGCTTGACAGTCAGAAGAAGAATATGATTTTATCCTAAGGTCATAGAAACCTACGGAAGAGTTTTGACTAGGGAAACAATATGATCAGATTTGCTTTTCTGTGTGTTTTACTTACATAAATCTAAATGTACTCATAAATTTGCACAGCAGAAGCTCAGGCATATCGCACAGATTTTAAAAAAGAATGCAGCCAATAATCACCCCATAACTGTACAGATATAAACAGGAGTGTTGATTGGGGTGGGAACGGCGGGGGAAGGCAGGTGGCCTGGAGTCTGAAGAGGTATGCATAGTTCACCTTTTTGTTTGTTTTTAAAGACTACATGTTCATCTGATTTGATGCCAAGGTAGTATTTGGGTAAGCCAGCATGAAAGCCCCATTTAAAACTCTCACCCTTCTTTAAAAGTTTCAAAAGAAATTTTCTCTTCAAGACTAACCTCTTGTGGGTGGCGTTGGGGACCACCTACAGGGTGTTGTTTTAGAGGTGCTAAAAGACCGCTCCTCACATCAGTGTACATTTTCTCTGTCCTCCATTAGAATCTAAAATTCTACCATCAGGATTCTATGTGGCTAGATTTTCAATTGCCAGGTTTGCTAGAAAAGAGTAATCCACTGGATCTAGTCCACCTTCCTGGGACTGAGCTGATTTGACTGCATTTTCTCAGGGATGGGAGAGTTCCAAGTTTTTAAGACCACTGACCACACAAGGGTGTGTAGGGCCATGAGGTGGGTAGACTACAACCCAGAGGAGCCCAGTCTCCTTTTTCGACATCAATATTTTGTCTTGGGTTGGCCCTGGGATCAGCTGGTGTATACAGTATGGGCATACGTATAAACATGTGTGGATTTACATAGTAAAGATATATGGGTATACTTTCGACACGTACATGACTTTATAAAACGAAAAGAAACACAGGCCCCAGGATTAGACCAACCTGAGGTCAGATCACAAGGTTTGTAACCCTGAGAAAGTTATAGTATCTTATGGGGTGGTTGGGAGAATTCAGTGAGATAATATGTTTAAAGTCTTAACGCTGGTCAGCGGCATACAGCAAGTGCTCCATAAGTGTTACTATGATTAAGATTATGTGTGTGTGCATCCTTATGCAAGTGTATGCATGCATGTGCAGATATGAGTATGTAAAGGCGATAGAGTGTGTTTAAGAACAAGAAAAGGAATAAGAGAAAATATTGCCAATCTCTGCAACTGGAGTTACAGCATAGGAGTGGCCCTTTTTAAGGAGTGAGGCCACTGCAGGGTACAAAGGAAATGGACTCAGCTTTGCTAAGTGGGAAACAGAGTAAAAGGATAGTAAACCATAAGGAGAATCCTTAGCGGCACAGACTCAAGACTAGGAATTAATAGAAGGAGACAGGCAAGCAGAATAGGATGGGTTGTTACCGAGCTCAAAAGTAAGTTTAAAAAAGTAGTAGTTGAAAGTGGTCTCTGAAATTGACCGACGTCAAAATTAGGCCTCAGTGCTCAGAAAATAGATAACCGTCTACTCCATCCTAAAGTTCTGGCCCAAGCGCATGTTTGATTTTTTGGAACTAACATGATAAAATGGGGAAAAACATGTAAACAATGTTTTCAGACCTCCTGGTCTCCTCTTAAGATTTTCCCATTGAGCTGCATGTGAACTCAATCTGCATAATAATGGTCATCCTCAGTCTAGAGAGAAGACACAGTAATAACAATAATTTTTAAAAGAACACCTAGTCTTTTTTTCTTTTTTTGAGATGGAGTCTTACTCTGTCACGCAGGCTGGAGTGCAATGGCGTGGTCTCAACTCACTGCAGCCTCAGGCTCCCAGGTTCAAGCGATTCTTGTGCCTCAGCCTCCCAAGTACTCCCAGCCACCACACCCAGCCAATTTTTGTATTTTTAGTAGAGATCGGGCTTTACCATGTTAACCAGGCTGGTCTCAAACTCCTAACCTCAAGCAATCCACCCATCTCAGCCTTCCAAAGTGCCAGGATTACAGGCGTGAGTCACCACGGCTGGCCTTGAACACCTAGTTTCTAGTCCCAATTCTGCCCCCAGCTCACTGGACAACTTCAAAGAATCCCTTGATCTTTCGGTTGCAGCTGCCTCACCTGCAAAAGAGAGTAGCCAGTTTTGGCCATTATCTTTTGACCTCTTGCCCTCTTAGAGAAGACTTAGCTCCCTTGAACCACCTCTTCACTTTTTATTTTTGGAGTCAGAGCCTCACTCTGTCGCCTAGGCTGGAGTGCAGTGGTGCGATCTCAGTTCACTGCAGCCTCCACTTCCTGGGTTTAAGTGATTCTCCTGCCTCAGCCTCCTGTGTAGCTGAGACTACAGGCACGCATCATCATGCCCGGATAGTTTTTGTATTTTTAATAGAGACAGGGTTTCGTCATGTTGGCCAGGATGGTCTCGATCTCCTGACCTCATGATCCACCCACTTGGCCTCCCAAAGTGCTGGGATTACAAACATTACTGAGCCACTGCCCCGCCCTGCCCGCCTCTTAAAGTTGTATCACTCCATGACATCGTCAAGAGCACAGACCACTTGCCTTCCATTAACTGTGAGTCCTGGGATGAGTTATTTACCCTCTGTGTCTCAAGTTCCCTAATCTGCAAAATAAAAGTAAAGAAGAATTTAGCGTATCCTTTAAAGAGTTAAAGGGCTAACATTGGTATTTAGAACAGTGCTTGACACAGATAAGGGTTACCCTGGTATTAGGTAAGATTGTTATTATTGACTTAGTCGTATACCTTTGTAATTTTACATGAAACGTATTATTGATAAATCAAAAAATAGAAATGTGAGCATAATCCGAGGATATGAAAAGACTACAGTTGGTAACAGGCAGGAGGACAACTTGGAGACCACTGCTTTTCCTTTTTTGAAAAAGCTTCTCTGAGCTTTGATTTTTCGCATGTGTGTATATACATGACACTAGTTTCTTAATTTAAACAGATTGAGCAAAAAGATCAATGAAGTCCCTCTAAATTCAGAGTCTCTAAATTCAGAGACTATGATTTTTAAAAAGCAATATTTTCTATGTGTCCGGCTTATCCTTGTTTTCATAGCTTGACCATTTTTACTTTTGACCTTCCCAGGAAATCCTTATGAAGTTTTAAAATAAACACTGTCACTTTGGCATGTTTGCAATGGTGCAGGTTCTGATTCCTTGGATACTAGAGAAAAGGGGAAAGGTGAAAATAGGAACTTTGTAAATACTTGGCCTTAGGGACTGGCTTACGTTTTGCCTCTTAACTATCTTTTCCCAGAAACAATTCAGTTAACTAAAGGAAAGAACATCAAGTTAACCACAACAAAAGCGTCGTTGGTAGGCAGCAGCCTGGCGGTGAAAGCGTTAACAGGGCTGGGAAAGGCGATCCCTTGAAATGAGTAAGACTGAGTGGTTAAAGTTTTGGAGCGGTGGCTGCAGCGGCGCTGGGGGAAAGGAAGCCGGTTGGAGGGAGCTGCGCACCCCTGCTGCGCGGAGGAGGGGGCTGAGCAGAACTCAGCAGAGGCTACGCGCCCAAGGTTAGTGGCCCCAACGCGCCGCCCCAACCCGCCGCCGCGCTGACATCTTTGGAGAGGAGTCTTAGGAAGCGAGGCGCCATCGCTCATCCTGGCGTCGTGTCTTTCCTGCTTATTAGTCGCCAGTGGGGCCACTGGCCTTCTTGCCAAACCTCTGGATTCGGCGTTCACTGAAGCCCTGGCACTTGTAAGGGGGGCAGCTCACTTCTTCCCAGACTTCTAAACTGGAGGCTTTCTTTCATACATCCAAAAGGAAACTTGTTTCTGGAACAAGCACTGTTTTCAGACCGCCCCCCACCACACACACACACACACGCCGACCCCTACCTGCATGTGCTGCCCTAGTATGGTTTTTACAGGTTGGGACCACAATCCAGAATTCCTATCTGCTTCATTTGAAACTGAGAACAATGTCAAAGTAACTAAACAGGCTGCACGACTTTACCTTGTGGGAGGAATATTGTTTCCGAGCCTTAGGTAATCAGGATGCAGAGGGGGGAAAAAAAATGACAAAAGAAAAGAAACAAAGCTTCCAAGTACCCTAGCCTGTAGTTAAGGCAAAATAATTTTTGGAAATGGGTTTCTAATGGAAATGTTTCTTGTACATTGCTAGAAGAATGCGGGAAGATGTATTGTGAAGGAAATAATTCTACATCTGCATGAGATTCAGATCAACTTACCCACCTAAACTAATCCACATGTGATGCGGACGATAGATACACTTAGATCTAGGGGACGGAGAAGGAGGAGATAGCTACCCAGAAATTGGTTTGGAGGGGGCTTTGTTGTAAGAATTGCAACTGTCCAGGAGATTTCCCCAGGCAGGGGTAAAGGACCTCTTCCCGCCTGGCCGGTAGAGAGGGCTTGGGTGGCCACTTCAGCAGGCCACTTTATGTCCCTGCTCTCCTGTCCCCTACAGGCAATGAGCAGTCAGTCCTGTGCTGAATGTTCCCTCTGATCCTCACGGCAGGCACGAGTTGAGTCTTATACCTGCTAGCATTGAATCAGAATGAGTCACTGAAACTTGGGTGCCGGAACAAAGTACTTGCAAACTGCCTTATGAGACACTGCCTCCATGTAGGTGGGATATACCTCTCAGAGCAGTCACATTTTTTTTCTCTCTTCTCTCTCCTTCAAGCAGGCAAGAATTCTGACGTTCTCAAGAGACCAGCTCTTCCCCGGGTGGCTCAAAGGACCCTACCATGTGGATTCTGCTTCTCCAGGTGGGGACTGGAGTTTTGAAATAAAATGGATGATTTGACGTTACTTGATCTTCTGGAGTGCCCTGTGTGCTTTGAGAAACTCGATGTCACGGCCAAAGTCCTCCCTTGCCAGCACACCTTCTGCAAACCATGTCTACAGAGGGTTTTCAAGGCCCACAAGGAGCTGCGGTGCCCCGAATGCAGGACGCCAGTGTTTTGCAGCATCGAGGCGCTACCGGCCAACCTGCTGCTCGTGCGCCTTCTAGATGGCGTGCGCTCAGGGCAGAGCTCAGGAAGAGGGGGCTCCTTCCGCAGGCCCGGCACGATGACCTTGCAGGATGGCAGGAAAAACAGGTCCAACCCCAGACGTCTGCAGGCCAGTCCTTTCCGGCTAGTGCCTAATATCAGAATCCACATGGATGGGGTAAGAGAGATCTTATTTGTTACTATCATGTCCACGTGGGGGTTGGATTTGTGCATACAGGGAGCTAGAACTTATCTTCTTTTAGTTACATTTCAGAGTGCCGCTGGTGATTCCTGAGTGATATGTTTCTGTGGGCAGTGATCATTTTACTCAAATACAACAGAAGCCTGAGCCTATCTAATCATCTAAGAATTCTCTTTAGAACTATCAAAGCTTCCTAGGTTCTCCTTTCTCTTTTGGCCAGAAAGTAGTAGAACAAGGAAAGCCTTTTAGATTATAATTTTGGTCTTTCACTTCTGCTGTTCTGAGGCCAAACCAGTGCCTGGGAAATGCATGGAGGGTGGGAAAAAAGAAAACAAATCCAACTGCTTGTTGCTTTTGAGATCTCAGAAATTTCCAAATGTCAGGGTTTTTTTTTTTTTTTTTATTTTTTTTTAAATCCATCATCCACCCCTAGTCATAAAGTGCTATTATGGCAATACTCATTCATAATCTGTTCCAAGCTATCAAGATACTTGACGCAGGAGATAGTGCAGGAGGGAAGCATCTATGTGGGCGGTCTGATTGATAGCAAAGGCTGGGCTGTGAAGTACATCAGCTGTGTATAGAAGCTCTGCAGATGTGTCTCATTTTGCAAAATGGATGAAATACACAGAAGATACACAGCAGAGGCTGCAATTAAAAAACCAAACAGACCCAGTTGAGCCTCACAGGAGATCACCCAGTAATGCTTTTATGTTTGGATAATGGGAATCCCTCTGTCCAGAGCTGAAAGCACGCCCTGAGGACTTCATCTGACCTGGCTATGAGCCTTGTTGTGGACTAATGTGTAGGGGCACATCTGGAGAGAAGGACATGCTCCTTGTGAGTCCAGCAGAATTATTTGTACTGTCACCCCTGGAGTCAGTGTGACAAAGTGGACATAGAAAGCTGTGGCTTGGGCCATTGGCATACATAGAAAATCAAAACTGCATTCCTTGAAGTCTTACCTAGAGCAAGCATTAGATCTAAGGCTTGCTCTGGCAGCAGGGTCCCATGTCTCCGTGCTGTAAAGAGGAACAGCATGTGGGAGAGTCTTGCAGGACTCCTTCCTCACTCAGGAATGAGGAGTGGCTTATGATACACATTTGGAGCAGTTTTCCAAAATTTTCCTTCTAACAGTTACCCCTTCCTGGATTCGCCGCACCTTGAAACCACCCATGGGAAATGTGTAAACATTCAAAAATGAGGGTGAGAAGAAGTGGGACATTTTTTCACTATAGACTCTTGATTTCTTCACCGTAGACTCTTTATTGCCATTGTGCTTGTATGTGAACGTATTCCGGAAAAGGGCTTGGAACTCTTCTAAGTCCCTCCACTAGCCCTAGTCTAGTCATCAATCAGAATCCACAGGTCTGGAAATGACAGAGTCGGGGGTGAGGAGGCAAACTGTCCTCAAACATGCCTTGTTTGTAGAGAGAAGGGCTCTATCTCTGGGTCAGCAAATCCTCCTTGAATTCCTAAGACCCAGCAACCTCTGCCCCTCCCCACCTTGTAGAAGTCTGACTGCCTTTTAGCAGAGTATCATCATCACTCACTCAAGAAATGTTGTCACACTGGGAGGAGGCAGTTCCCTTATCAACTTGGAATATTTTTGCTGTGGTTTTCATCTTTCTCAATGTGGCTGTGTTGCAAAGAAAATGTAGTGATGAATTGATTTACAGCTACCAAGTTTTTGAACCATAGAGGATTCCCAGAGTCCTTCTGGCACAGGCAATTGAGGAGAGAGCTGGTCGTACATAAGAGACAGCCATTAAGATACTGGGTCTCTCTGGAATTCTTTTGCAGGGACTTATAACACCAGACTATGGTCTGTGCCCACCCTCCAAGCTGCTCTGGACCAAGTCCTGTCGTGAAGCTGAAACTCAAGAGCTCCTGTGTTCAGGCAGGACCTGGGCTAGAAAGACGCTCTGTAAGAGAGCAGAGCTGGCACCCCCCTCCCCCCACCTCCCAGTTCCTTCATTTCCTACCTATCCTTTCTTGAAGTGACTCCTCTCATCCCTTTTGCCTTCCTCAATGGGAATATGAACAAACCCATTTCTGGATGTCAATATGGCTGTCGTTCTGCAACATGCCTCTGCTCCCAAAAATATTAACTATATTTTCGGCAAGCGTGAAAGTAACCATGCATCCCTCAGTTGAAACAACTAAGGCTTTTCTGGATGCCACAGTCTGTTCAGAGAGTCAGATGAATGGACTTGCATCCTTGGTCAAATCCTCCTGAGTTCCTTGCCCTCTCTGCCGCACTTCAGCCAATCTAGTCAAAAGCTAATAACACTTGCTACCCACCTTCCTCCAGGATAGTGTGAAAATTATCTTTGCAACATATACTTACTGCCTTAGAAAACATCTGCTATGTGAATGCAAAGCATCATCATTAAGATTCATGTAGACATGCTGTGTGACTTTGAGCAAGCCACTTATGTTTGCTGAATCTTAATGTAAAATTCTGTAAAATGGAAAGATGTCTTTTATAAAAACAGACAACCACTGTGAGGCTTTACTAATTAATGTCTGCAAAACGCTTTGAGAGCCTTAGATGAAACACATTTGGAAGATCGTTATCACAGCAAACATGATTATTGACTGTGTATTGTGCCCTGCCATGCATGAGGCATGCTACAAAACGTAGAAGGAGTAACAGCCCTCGTGGGAGAGTGTAATAGGTATGATTACTATTAAATTTGATTCTATGATGAGTGCAGGCCAGGATACTAAGTATAAGGTACTCCTCACAGAGAGCATAAATAACCTGTTGTCACAGGGTGCCATTTTGTAAAACACCTCTTTCAAAGGACTTGCCGATAACCTGGCACTCCAAAGAGTTCATTTAACTTCCTGTCCGTGAGCTTTTGAAGCCCAGAGTCTGCTCTGCTCACCTAGACTCATCTAAAAAACAAGCTCATCGAGCTCCTTTTGTTGGCTGAAAGACGCCTGATACATCCTGTGCCAGCCAGTGTTCTAGGGTGGAACCAATCGTCACACCTCATGGTGCCAGCCCAATAGAGAAAAAAAAATAGTCTATTGTGCCTACATGTCTAAAACCCTCCCAAGATGATTGTGTAAAAAGAAAACTTGAGAAACAGCTGTAGGTTTCTACAGCATGCAATTATTTCAAACCAACAGGCGAGATCACCAGACTCCTCCGGGAGGAGCCCATGGTGGTACAAATCCCACTGTTTCTTATTCCTTCACATACTCCAGGGAAAGCAAAGGAAGTTGGCAAGCCTTCAAAAGGATTGTAGGTTCCTGAAAGCTGATCTCTCTTCCTCCTAATTCTGTTACACCTTAGTAATATTTCTGACTTAGGATAGGTCGTAAGCAGAGAAGTTAATCTGTGGACTTGGGTTTGAGAAATACCAAAATTCAAATCCCGACCCTGACCCTCAACAGTTGTGTACTTTGGGTGACTCACTTAAACCTCAGGTCCTCCAATTCCCCATCTGTAAACTGGAGATAATCGTAGTGCCTACCTCAGAGGGTTGTTGTGAGAATAAGTGAGATGATTCATGTCACTTAGCTCTAAGCACAGTGACTGGCTCATACTAAGTGCTCAGTAAATGTTAGCTGTGGTTGTTATTGAAATGACTCAATACTTTCTACTCTAAATTACACACACCTTTTCAGCCCCTTATTAAGCAAGTGCCATCCAGGGATGGTCTGGTGCCCTGATTTTTCATTGTTTTGTTTGCTTCCATGTGATCTGTGGCCATGATTCAGATGTGTGATTCTTCCCAGCATGTGCTGGCTTTGCAGCTCACTTCCAGTACCCTTAAGGTGCTAATGATCAATTCTAGGAGAAAACTCCCTAACTAATTTCACTTTCCCAAACAGCACATTCAAAGGAAAACCATGCACCGGGCAAGAACCTGGTCTACTTCCTCAGCATCATCAATTCTTCATTAACTTTTCTATCTTTCATTTGTTCCTGCTCACTCTATGCCCCAACACAAATGTCGCCATGGGTTCTGCGAGCCTGGACTTTCTACATTGCTAGTATCACGCCAGTCACACACATTTCTGTCTTACTTACCCCTTATCAGCAAGAACACCCCTGCCACCTCCAGCACACAGACCAGGTGGCTTTGTCCTAGAAACTTTTCAGCTGGTGTTGCAAACAACTGATGGGGAAAAAAATGAGGTCAGAAAGCACATCAGGGAATTGAGGTTTGGCAGAAACCAGAAGGTAGGCCAGCCCTTTTCCTAGGTCTCAGAGGCTGTATCCTGTGACAGAGCTGTGATGTAGACAGTAGCAAAACAAATTTTTTTGCTAAATTTGCAAAGGGATTAAAATCATACCAGGCCCCTGAAAACAGCAGATAAGTGCCATTTGGGACAGCAAGGACCATATGTGGCAGGTGAAGAAAGACATAAAGGTAGGGGCTGAGGTTGAAAAGTCGAGACCCAGATGGTTCTCCAGCTTCACACGCATTTGCAAACATTTTTAATAACCACATGGCCCCACATTGGCACTGCCTCCAATCTCTCTCAGTGCACCTCTTTCCTAGTTAGCTTCCTCTCTTTTATTGCTTACTGTAGCATTTTAAGGATTTACGGTGAAGTGGGCTATATTTGTGCTGGGATTGAATTGCTGGTTGGCTGTGAGGCCTTTGACAAGTCACTTAACCTCTCTGATCCTCAGTTTCTAGATTTGTATAATGGAAATAATAAAGGTGTACATATATCATACAGCTATTGTGAGATTAAAATGAGATAATATATATAAAGAGCTTAGCACAAGTGCCTGGCACATAATAGAAGCTAATAAATGTTAGAACAGTAAATAACAAAAGAGTAAGAGCAGAGGAGAAAGCCGGCTGGCACTAGAGCTCTTTGCATACACACAGAAACATGCAGGGATCCCTACTAAAAAAAATAAAGAGAATTGCAAAACGAAAGGGAGTTCTCAAAAAGACAAAACTGTGTGATGGAAAATAGATGAGTGGTTGCCAGGGGTTACG